CTGCCCGAGGCGGAGGAGGTAAGGTATAGCCTCCTACAGCAGTCACTACTCCTTGCAGGCACCAGCGAGTTTGCATGCAGACCGAACAGTCAGATGGATGCAGTGGGTAAGGGAGGAATTAAGGGCCACGGTCAGACTAAGGGAAGGATTCCGGGCCTTTTAAAACTGTGGTGGAGGGTGACACACCTGGGCTGGTCCTACTGAACCTATTTTCCGAGGTAAGGTATAGCCTCCTACAGCAGTCACTACTCCTTGCAGGCACCAGCGAGTTTGCATGCAGACCGAACAGTCAGATGGATGCAGTGGGTAAGGGAGGAATTAAGGGCCACGGTCAGACTAAGGGAAGGATTCCGGGCCTTTTAAAACTGTGGTGGAGGGTGACACACCTGGGCTGGTCCTACTGAACCTATTTTCCGAGTGAATCGGAGGTGAAGCAGCAGAAGAGGCGCATGGCTTGCTGCTTGCCCTACCTTCTCTCCGAGAGGTGACTACAAAGGCACTAAGCTGCTGAGCAGGCAGTGACAGATTCCACCTAAAAAAATTAGGAACCTGCTACACTGCGGGAGATGTAGCCACAGAGCCCAGCTCAGGCCACTTGGCTAAAGCAGGACAGGTAAAAAACACCTTCAGTTTTATAAAGGTCTTCCCTTTTTACCTCCTTTATGCCCCATTCCTACCTACATGCAGGCATTCACCCGGAGCATTGGCTGTGACAAACACCTGGCAGTGGCTTATTTCCAGCGGGGGACAGTGTTTTACCGGAGGCAGAAGTGAGTGGAAGGGTTTATATTTCATTTTTGCTGCTTGCAGAGATGCTAGCCTTCAGCTGAGGACAGCTCCAGGCAGGATGATACCCCAGGGGCCAAACTGCAAGCCCTCGAGGTAAAACAGGCTCCTGTCCATCGGCAGTGCAGTCTTGGGATTAACACCAGTCTTGGAGCATCTCTCCTCACCCTGGAGTGTCCAAAACACTGCAAGCAGATGGGAGAGACCTAACTAAACTCACACAAGCATATGTAAAGATTTCAAGGCAAGCAGATTGCCACCAGGATGTGGTGATGCCTTTTGTCTTCTGCTCCACAGCCATGAAAAGGCCATCGAGGATTTCAAAGAGGCGCTGGCCCAGCTGCGAGGCAACCAGCTCATTGACTACAAGATCCTGGGGTTGCGGTACAGGCTCTTTGCTTGTGAGGTGAGAAAAACTTGTCCAGCAGTTTGATTCTCTTCACCAGCTCAAGAAATCTAAGAAGACAGCCAGCCTTTCTCTGTGCCTCGCAAGCAACCACTTGAGCCACTGCCCTGCTGTCCTCTCCTTTACCACTCTCCTGACAATGGTGCGGTTGCTCTAAGAGCTCATTTTCTTGCTCCCATCCCTCTGGTAGATACTCTACAACATTGCACTGGTGTATGCCACAACGGAGGACTGGAAGAAAGCTGAGGAGCACCTGACTCGGGCCATGACCATGAAGAGTGAGCTCCAGCATAACAAGATCGACAGGGCAATGGAAGCCATCCTGGTAAGGAAAAGCAGGTCTTACAGCCACTGGGTTTGCTCACAGCAGCCCTGCAGGGAGGAGGGAAAAAAATGCCAGAGAAACCACCTTTTAGCTATGGCTTTAGCAGAGCAGGAGAAAAACGCAGCGGGTGTTAGTGCTGTAGTGAGACATGAATTGGTGGGAAGAGCTTTGGGTCACTGGGGAGGCAGGGACAGGAAGATCAGGATAAATAAACCATGTCAGGGCTGGGATCAGGCTGTCACAGTAGAATTTTGACTTTACGGAGTGAGACCTTAATCCAAGAGATTAAGGGGACATTCAGCAGTCCCTGCTCTCATTTCTGAAGAGCTCTGACTTCTTTGTTCTACAGAAGCAGAAGATCTGTGAGCTGGTGGCCATGCCTGCAGGGAAGCTGTTTAGACCAAATGAAAAGCAAGTGGCCCAATTGGAGAAGAAAGACTACCTGGGAAAGGCTATGGTAAGAAAGAAGTATCTCAGTTGAGCCAAGCCTGTGGGCTGAGGAGAGCTGCTGACCACCCTCTTACCACCCTTCTGAGCTGCTATCTGCTGCCTCATGAGCAGCCAGAGTTATGGAGCTGGCACATACCAGGCATGGAGGGAGGGATGGCATGTAGGGATCTCATGGGGAACAGGGGCTCTGCAAGAATAGCTGCCAAAAGCATGTTTCTGCAGAGCATGGCCTATTTTCAGTTTCTCTCCTTAGCAAGAAATGAGGGACAGTCAGCAAGCCAAGAAGCTATTTAACATGACACTCACAAATGACCTCCTGCTCCATTTGAAAGGAGCTTTTCAGCTCCTATAAGTAAAGCTTTTCTCCCATGACTGTGCAAAATCCAAGCACCTTGGGCTCAGGTTCTGGGCTCCTCCAGAAAGGGAATCATTGGCTGTGCAGGCACTGGGGAATTGGGCAACTGAGAGCCAAGCAGCTCCTTGGGTGTCAGAGGAACCCCAGAAACATGCACACAAACATTTATGAACTTTCTAAGTTAGTAATCTATGAACTTTCTATAGTCACCTGTAGGAAGTAAGGGCTTGAGTTGGACACTTTGGCTTCCTTCAACATTTGTGATTAAAACATAAAGGAAAACTTTTAAGTTACGACTTTAACTGGAGTAGCAGTGAGGCTAAAAGATGAGAACTTACCATAGCCAAGAGCTGAATTCTGGTGCCAGAAGTACTCAGTCTGTAATCCAAGATGCTTAGCCTAAAATCACAGCCCCTCTTGAACCTGAAGCATCCTGATGAACTTGGCTTGGCCAACAGCAAAGGAGGAGAGTGGACATCAGAGATTTAAAGAGAGGTCTGGAAGCACCACTTTATTACCTGTCTGCCTTTGGCTCTAGGTGGTGGCATCTGTGGTGGACAAAGATGATTTTTCAGGATTTGCTCCACTCCAACCACAGGTAAGGTACCACCCCACTGAACAGAATCCTCAGTGAAAGTTCAGGAGGACATAGGGGTGGGTATCATCCTGCACCCTGCTGTGGTCTCTAGCTTACGGTGGGGAGCAAAGAGCAGCATTGCCACCATGAACTTTCTGCCATGGGGAGGAGGAGGATGCTGCCCCCACATCTCAGCTGCTCTCTCCATCATCAGGAAGTACAGCCCAAAGCCACCTACATCTGTGGTTGAGGTTAAGCTGGCACCCTGAACAGGGAAGTAGTGGCGGGGCAGCACATCCTCTGCGCCAACCACAGGGTAATGGCTTTTAGCACAGAGCTGTCTCAGACTCTCCTCATAAGATTCTTTAGGGTTCATCTGTCCAAGCTGAAGTGGAGAAACAAGAGCAGTTCTGCTTTCATTCTCCACCCTCCTCCCTGTTCTCTAAGCCCCTTGCATTTTCTCTCTCATTTTCCTGGTGATGTAGCAGCATCTTTCCATCTCTGAAGGCGCCAAAGAGTTTTTACATGAGCTTTGAGAGGACTTTCATGGGGAAATGCAGCTGCTGCAGCCCACAGCACTGTTAGGCAATATAAAATACACCATTCAGTGCACCCAAGTGTTGGCACCTCGCTATGGGAGTCAGGCCTATTTCAAGTTGCTTCTTCAGAGGGTTGATAAAATCCACCAGAGAACTTAAATTCCTATGGCAGGAGAGACAGTAAAGCACTACAATGGCAACAGGGGATTTTACAAGCATGGTAATGGGAAAATACAGAGAAACACAATTTATGCCAGTTGATCTCAATTCCCTGGTCTCAGCCCCTTGTGAGCTGAAACCAAAATCATGGCTGAACACAGGATTGTGCCTCTGAAAACCAATTGCAGGTGGTAGAATTTGGAAACTACTCCTTAAACGAAGCAAAGCCAGTGACAGTCCCCATAGCACTTTATGCATCAGGGTGGCAAACAGCTGAAAATCTACCTCAGCTAGGTGCAAAGCAGCAAAAAAATACATTTAGGTTCAAATCACCTGACCTGCCACCAGCACGGGGAAGAAGGAACCACGTACGGGGAATGGCAGGCAGGGTAAAAGGCTATAGGACATTTCTGCAAAGCAACCAAAATTCTCCAGCTTACTGGTGATCTTCTTTTTGCCTTCTTGTTGGCAGGCCTCTGGTCCTCCACCCAGGCCCAAGACCCCAGAAATCCTCAGGTGAGTTGGATGAAGGATGGACAACACTGCTAACCCATGCATCCATGTCCAACCCCATCCTGCACCATCACAGCCAAGCATCCAGCCAGAATCCAAAACTCAAGGGGAATGGGGGCCCATAGGAACAGGAGGCAGAGGTCCGGGTTGCCCCTACGGTGTCACCCACTTCCCTGACTCATCCACTGCTTCTACACCCAGGGCCCTCGAAGGGCAGCCACACCGCATCCTATATGAGTTCATCCCTGAGACTGCCGAGGAGCTTCAGGTCCTGCCAGGAAACATTGTCTTTGTCCTGAAGAAAGAGAAGGACAACTGGGCTACGGTGATGTTCAATGGAAAGGTACCAGGGGCGTGAGACTTGCAGGACAAAGCCTTGCCATGAGCAACTAAATGAGTTTCCACCTTAAGTCCCTCATGTCCACCCTAGCTTAGGCCACAGGGTTTGCTGAAACCCATCCAGCAGCTAAGCTTCCAGCCTTAGGGACAATCCTGCATTCAGGGTAGGGTGAGGACAAGCTCAGTCATGTCTTCCAGCAGTGGGTTGCCTCCTTGCCAAGCAATCACCACTCGTCTCTCCTTTCCCTGCAGAAAGGGATTGTTCCCTGCAACTACCTCGAACCTGTGGAGCTCCAGAACAAGCTGCATACCCAGGTAAGGAGACCCAGGAGGAGATGGTGTCCTAGGGAGGGCAGATCCCCACACATTCACCCACCACCCATTCTGGGCCTTCCAGCAGGACCTATACCTGCAAATCCCTACCCCTCATAATGCTGGGCTTGGTTCTTCTGGCTCACAGTCACCTTCACATATGCTCAGAGACCTGCAATATGTAGGCACATGCTGCACCAATACCCGCCCTGGGTGGTGGTTGGCAATGCCAGGGAAATAAGGGGTAGTGAAGTCACCCCTCCCGGGTTCAAGACCCCAAACAGACCTTGGGAAGAATAGTGGGTGGGAGATGGGGCTCCATAAGGCAGCAGTGTGCCAGCTCCCTTTGGAAGGGTGGGATTGACAGCACTATCTTTTTCCCATCTGGCACAGGAACAAACTCCTCTTGAAACAGAGATCCCCGAATCACCCAGCTCCGCTGCTCCAGAGAAACCGCGGCGGCTGGCACCAGGTCAGTGAGGGGGAGCTGAAGGGACGGGGGTGCCTTAGGGGTGAAACCCCTGGCAGCAGGTTTGAGAGGGTTGCCTCGGTTCCATGTCCTCACACTTTGAGACCAGGGCTAGGGCTCATCTCTGTCTCGTTCCCAGACCCGTCTGCAGCCAAGGATGGGGAGACATTAAAGCAGGAGGCAGAGACAGCAACTGCAATGCTGAGAATGGCATAAAATAGTGCAGGCGGGTCCCCAAGGAAAGAAAGTCCCTTTGTGCTCTTAAGTTAGCACAACAACTAATGGAAAAAAGGTCCTGGGGATAGGAATGAGGCATGTAACCCAGCTTGTCCAAGCTTGGAGTATAAGGTTCCTTATAGGCTTCTCCTTAGAGTAGGGCACCTGCAATGTTTTTAGTGCTGTTGTGAGCTGGGCTAGGTGTGAAGGAGCTGTGGTGGTTGCCTTGGGAAGGGCATTTCTGGCCAATGCTAGCCAGTGTCCCACATCCCAGGCCTGGGGAGAGGATAGTAGCACCAGGACCATCACCTCACCCCCAGCACAGCTGGTTCAGGATGCTGAGAAGCTGAAAAGGGCTCTGCTGTCTGCATCCACTCTGCTGCAGGAGTGCTCAGGTACATGGTCCAAAATTGCTGTTGTTGCAAGTATGTGAGAACACAAGCTGAAACGAAGAGCAGGGAGGAAGCATTGCAAGTTGCCCTCTCTAGAAAACATCTGGCAGTAGGAGCCTGTGGCTGATCTGCAAGCTCCACACCACTGCAGGGAAAACACATTTGGGGTAGAAAATATCACTGTGCAGAGACTGTTCCACATGGGTGTTAACCCGCTGCAGTTTTCTGCCAGGGTTCATGTCCCAAGCAGAGCAGCCTTAAATGCAGTCTAGTGGTAAAGTTGATACAGAAGATTGCTATGGCTCATGGGAGTTATGGACAAACAGCTCAGGGACCCAATAACCTGAAAGAGCATCTTTATAGTACCAAAAGCCAGTGCAGATTTAGCAGTGGGACTGCAATCAACAGCATAGCACTGCCTCTTCCCATAACAAGCACAGCTGTGTCAAAACACTGACAAAACATAGAAAAGATCCTTGTGCAGAGACTTCAACAAACCTGTGTGAAATCACCCTACCTGGAGGTCTAAATTTAGCTCTACAACCACAGTGAGGCATGGGGACTGTCTCCAGTTTCTAGTGTGGATGGACCTAGGGAGATCAGAAGAGCAAAGACAGCTCAAATGTTTATTATTTTTAAAATCTGCCCAGGAAAGACCCATAAAACTCCCATCCCTATGAGAGGGAAGGCACAGAGACTAAATCTCTGCTTGATGGTTACATTTAAATCTTACAGATGAACCCCATCACAGCTGATGCTGCGTTCACTCAAGTGACCAGCACTGGCTCCAAGGTTGGCTGGTGGTGTTGCAGGTAATGATGGGCTCCAGGAGATCTGAATGCGTGCTTCGGCACAGAGCAGTAATGCTTACCCTGTCCCACCTCTTTCTTCCTCCACAGACAGTGCTCCTGTTACTGTGATACAGACGAGAGATGCAGCAAAGGTAACATCTTCTGAACACAGACCCCAAGGTGTTGGTGTTACAAATCTGCATTTACTGCATGTTGAAAGGTGATGGCATGCCCAGCAAGCACCATGGCCCTGGAAGTGTTCCAAGTTTTCATCATTCAGGAGCCTCTACAAGGCATAACAGGGCGAAGGGCCAGTCAGGACCCAACCAGGTGACTGGCGCTGCTCTTTGGGAGTTCTCTGGTCCACTCCCCAGTCGACCTGGGGCTGTCAGCAGAACAAAGTACAACTCTCACCTTAGTTGACCTGTGGCACTTCAGAAGGGAGAAATGGAGAGAGCTTGGCTGTAATGCACACACTCCTGTGCAGGGTCAGCACATCATGAAGTCATGCTGGGGAGAGAGATGGGAAAACATGGCAATCCCAACTCAAAAAAGGAATGAGCGGGTTGAATGGTAGACACATTTCAAATTTGGTCACCTAAAAGCCACCATTTGTTTGCTAAGTGACTAATCTATGACTCTGCTCCCTCGTGGGAAAAGCCCAGGGTAGCTTAGGTGGCACAACCACTGACCTGCCCGGAAGGAAGTACCAAAGGTTGCACACTCTAGCAGAGATGTCTCCCTGACCAGCAGCCAGCTGTTGCCTCACAGCTCAGATTTGACTCAGGCAACCACAGTTCCCATATCCCCGTCCCTCTCCCTGCTCTCACCAAGCCACGCAAGCTCTGACATCCAGTTTACCACCTGCAGGAGACAGAAGCGGCCATCTCCAGCCCTCACATCCTCAAAGTGCATTACAAGTACACGGTTGCTCTGCAAGTTGAGCCAGGCCTCTCCTACGTGGAGCTCCTGGACCTGGTTTGCAAGAAACTGGAGCTCCAGCCTGAGCACACACAGCTGAGGTGAGGCACTGCCCACTGCAGGGAGCTAAAGCTGTGTTTTTAGAGCTCACACTTTTACCCCATGTCCTCTGCACATGCAGGTACAAGCCTGTGGAGACCCAAGTGCTGGTGACTCTAAGCACAGAGAACCTGGAGGCAGCTTGGAGCCAGAGCAAGGACAACTGTCTGACAGTCTGGTGTGACATCACGGAGGTCAGTGACAACTAGTGCTGGCAAAGAACCCCAGCAGATACTGCCTTTACTTTCTTTGTTGTGAGTGCAGACTTGTGGCTTTCAAAGCAAGCCAGCGACCTCTTTAAAGGCAGATGAGCAAAGAGCAGGTGAAGAGAAACAGAGCTTGTCTCTTACCCTGGTACAAAGGAAAAGGAGGATCTGAGAGGTGTCCTTACCAGCTTATTTCCTGCCTTAGGGAGAGGGTTTTTTACCAGACAGCAAACCAGAGGAGCTGCTGCAGGAGGCAACACCGGAGGAGACGGGACCAACCCAAGTTGTAGCGCAGTACAATTACGAAGCCACCCAACCTGAAGACCTGGAGTTTCAGGCAGGAGATATGATACTTGTCTTATCCAAAGGTAATTGTGCTCCTTCTGCAACAGGCAAGGGAGCTTCCAGCTCTGGTGACAGCATGGGTCTGAGCCTGAGATGCCAAATGCCTGCAGCAGCTGCTGCTCAGTCCAGTGGAAGTTATGGGTTTCCAACATCTCTCAGTCAGGCCAAAAACTCTCAGGTATTTGGTCAGAAACTGGATGCACATTCTTCAACAGACCCTATGAGCTTCACCAAAGACTTTGATCTCTTTCTCCAAATCCCCGTCCTCTAAAGCAAACTGTTTCATGCTGGGAACCTCCAGAGCAACAGCCTAGCTCAGGTAGCCTTCACTGATAGCAAACTTCCGCAAGTTGCAGTTTACCACCTTTAGATGGAAAACAGGCTGCTCAGATTTCTCCTGCAGGGCACTCTGAGAAAGCTTGTGTTGAACTCAAACACTTTACAAGACAGATTAGAAAAGAAACTAGCAGAGATTACATGAGGTGGCAGGTGGAAGCCAGGGGTAAGGACAACCTAAGAACACATAGAAGAGTTACTTTCCTTCACGTTGCTAAGAGATGTGCCACTGAGCTTCCAGTCTCCAGATTCACAGGGCAAATTTCTCCATCCCCATGAAGGACAAAAGGCAAACCACTCCCTCCAAAAAAACCCCAAACAACACCCCCCCAAACCAAACCAACCTAGTGAGGTGTTTCTAGCCTCTGCTTTGCATGCTCCTGACGAAGGACGGGGTTTTGGCTTACCAGGCAGTTATCTGGAGACAAGACAAGTAGGACCTAACGTCTGCAAGATTGCATTCTACAAGTGCCTTCTTCCAACAGCAGCTGCCTCATGCTGTAGCTGCAGCAGAGCTCCTCCAGCTCTACCAGGGGCTTCCCATCCAAGTGTCAGTGTTACACATCTCTGACAATGTATTTTCATCACACCCGTTTCTGCCACCCTCTTCCCCAAACACTTTCCAGATGGGAGGGTTTCACTTGAGCTGTGTTTAAGCGTACTAATCACAGTTTATCTTTTAAAGGAGTTGCCTCATTTTGTCTACTGCTCCCACAATGGCAGAATGCTCTTACTCCCATCTCTCTTACCTGGCACCTTTTTCTGTTTGGTTTTGGTTTTAAGCGTAGTCTTCCATTAGCCTCAATCCCCTTCAGTATTAGTCTTCAGTGCTTTTAACAAGAATAGAGGCTTAAATACAGACTAAATCTTAGCAAGGTCTAGTACATGTTTTTGAGTTGGATCCTTTGAAGCCTGTGCAGAATGCACAGGATGCAGGAAAAAGTTATTGTGCTTCAGCAAAAGCTGCCAGCAAACCCATACCAGGTGAAGAATCACAGACAGACCCTGCACAGGGCATCTGTTTCCCTTTTCTGTGTGAGATCGAGGCATCAGAAAGTTAAGACAAAAAAATCATAATGATGTTATTTTGCTCTAAGTAACTCTATCACTAATGTGGCTGGTTGACAAATGATCATAGTCCCCCTCTTCCACTGTACAGGTGAGGTTTTGCACCACACATTGATGACTCCTTGCACTCCAAAATTCCACTCTCACTGCTGAACTATTTCCCACTAAAAATTTGGTTCTTGCCTCATTTGGTTCCCCCACAGCACGAGCTTTCAGAGCAACCAAGCTTTACTCAACCCAGGGTAGCAGAGGCTTTGGGGGTTTGTTTTAGGGTTTTTTCTTCACATGAACGTGGAAGAGCAGGTGAAAATGCACTTTAGCTGGCGCCTTAAAGATCATAGCCCAAGGTCTCAGATTGTTTCCTTGCTCTCCATACTCACTTTGTTTCCACTGTTTTCTATTCAAGGCAGTTTCTAAGCCCCTTGGCCTCTTATTTTGTTCTACTTTCCCTGCTGCATTCTTTCTTACCTTGCTTGTAGAGAGCTTGTAGGCTTGCTCCCTACCTCGTTCCTCTCCAGCCCCTTTCATCCACATTCCTCTCTGCACCAGGCTTTACCAGAAAACCTTAAAAAGGTGTTCTAGGGCCTATCTATAGCACAGGGAGGTTATTATGCGCCTGTATATCTATATGGTGACAAAAACTGTGTTGATTCTATCTTCCAGTGAATGAAGACTGGTTAGAAGGCCAGTGCAACGGAAAGATAGGCATCTTTCCATCCGCTTTCGTTCAAAAGTCTAACACTAAAGACCTGGAGATGTGATTTCAGAAGAACTTAAAGTCGTAGATGTGGGAAGAAATTAAGAATTCAACCACTGCAATTACAGTTTCCATATTAATCACTGCACCTGAAAATGAAGTTTAAATATTACTGCTACTTATATTAAAAGCTTTATTTTTTTATTTTACATTTTGCACTGTTCTTTAGAACAGGTACTTACTACAAAGTTACTAACAGTCTCCTGTTAGGAATGCATTCAGTCCTAAAACCTGTGCTTGCCAAGAGACTTGCTCTGCCCCACCTGCCCTATCCTTAACAAAGCTTTCATGCAGACATGCCAGTAGCTGGGAAAACCCATGAGGGTAATGCTTCTTGCACTCACAGCCCTACCAACAGATCCAGAAGAGGAACTGGTGTTCAGGAAGCTACAGACCAGGAAAGGCTGAACAGTGTTTACTTCCTTAAAATGTCATTGCCAACCCCAAGAGCTTAAAAGATACCATGCAGACTCACCCTGCTCCAATAGATAATTCACTTCAAAATCATGGTGACTAAAATCCCCCACCAATAAAAGTATATGTATTTTTTTTTTCCTTTCACCTTTAGGAGCTGTATCTCAAAGCATTTTTGCAGCAGTCAGAAGAGATCGTAATTTAGAAAGAGACTGCCTGGAATCTCACCAGGTCATACAGCAGCAAAGTTGCCCCCTTTACAAAAGCTTACACAACTTTGATGCCCGCTTCCCTATCCAAGAGGTTTGCCCCTCTTTGCCCATGGCACTGCTTTCACAGTATTTCTGGTGCTTCTTGCTGACAGCTGCTCCTTCTGGCACTTAAAAATGATGTACCTTGCTCTGTCCTCGAAACACCCAAGCTGTAGATGAGCCAGCCACCCACAGTGTAGGGAGTGCCTTGCTTCAAAGGTGCCAAGGGTAGCAGTTTCTCCACTTCAAATCCCATCATGCAAATTCTGGACAGCCCCACTGTTCCGATCCCCTAAACATCATAGTTATTTTGAAAGGAACTTACTACGAAGAATTGCCTGGATACAAAGAATGCCTGTCATTTCAAAACCAGAACATCTCTGTCCTTTTGACACATTTGGAAGTATGCTGTTCAAAAGCTGGCTGCAAACAGCCAACACTGACCTGCAGGCACATCAACGGCAGGAGAATCTGTGTCCTCCACCTCCCACTGAAACTTCAAACCTTTGCCTGACTTCTCCAGAAAAATACGGCATTTTTAAAAGCCTGCAGCCAAGTTACACAAGAAATAAATGCTACACGCAGACCTGGATGGAGAGAACATGGTTTAATTAAAGGCAAAGCTGATTTCAGCAGCTGCAGTTCTTGCACAGACAGACAAAAAAAAACACAAAAAAAGCTTACGACACAAACCAGTTTCTGTTGGGTGCCCCTTTTCCTTGCTCCTCCAAGTGACGGAGGGCAGGAGGGGAGTCCCAGCCGAGAGTCGAATGCATTCCCGAGGCCAGATGCTCATGCACAAGTGGAACGGTGTGGCTGGGACCCTGGCACTGCTGGAGTGAGATGGCGAACCTGGTTAGCTCGTCTAGGGTGCAAGAGTCAGTGACAGTTCAAACACTGGAATGTCGCAGCTGCCTGGGTGCACAGCTTGATACACAAACTGGGAGGGCTAGAGGGAAATAGAGGGGTTTGGTTCATATTACCACTGGGTGGAAACTTTACTTTTTAGACTTTCTAAAGGAAACACAGCTTCAAAATGCAACAAAGAACAGTGATGTTGCTAAGGTGGAGATCATGGGGGCTCATTCCCCTGGAGGGGTACCGTGTCTTCTCTGCCTTCGTTTTTTTTATTCCTTGGGGCTGCCCAGACTCCAGTGTCACTTCGGCTCTTGCATGTGCTTTGCTCTGCAGCTGACTTCCAGCTCAGAGATCCTGAATCATCATACAAATCCCTACTGCTAAACACAGCAAATGGACATTGAGATTGTTTCCATAACTTCCCTGGGAAACCTAACAAAAATGCTGTCCTTTTCTTTATCAAAGCTTCCAGTCTTCCTTCCCTCTAATAAATAGCAGATAAAACATTTCCCTTTCCCTTCTGCACCTTTTCATCTATGAACAGCACTATACTTTCTTCTGTGTGCGGGTCACACGTGTGTGTCCACAGATGCCTTGAATTCTGTTCTGGAACTGAAAGTTTGGGGCTGCAGCTGGGGGTGGGAGGTGCGGGGGGACGGGTTTCTGCAGAGCTGATGTGTGCCTGCGGGGTGCATACACTCTGCACTGTCCAGGCTGACTGGCAGCTTTACCCAGCCCTGCTGGACCCCTGATTATTTTCTGCGAGATGTTGCACATTGGTAATGAAACTACTAGCGTCCAGCGAAGATGGGAGGATGGAGAGAGAAAAAAAACAAAACAAAAACCATTGAAAGCTTTCTACCTACCTATTAAAATAAGTCAGGCTGTGAATGCACAGACTAGCAGGCCCTTTGTGGGGCTAGCCACTATGCTACAGTAAAATGTACAGGAATCAAACATTAATTCAAAACCCCATAGCAGTTAACTTGCATGTCCAGCAGAGTGCTGCAATGCCCCACATCACCCATTATAGCTCAAACACCTAACTGAGAGGAGGGCATTTCTTGCTGGAGTCTCTAACTCACCCGTGGGCTGGCTAAAGCCTTTAGGTGAAAGGTAAAGTGGTGTTAAGTGCCAGACTCTTCTTCATGAAACTCCTTTGCTAGCCCAGGAGATAGAGCTCCCCCTTGCCACCAACCACCTCTGACCAGAGCAGCAACTGGGGCTTTCATTGCTACACACTATGAAGCACGTCTGTGTACGGAAGAATTCAGTGTGATCTTACTACTGAGATAGTAATAAAGATGTTTAGGAGTAATTTCAACTACATTCTCAGTCAGCAAAGCAATCATTAATGGATTCCTATTTTATCTCCCCAAAGAGAGGAAAAGGATTGAGAAGTTCTCATTGGCTTCTCCCATCTGCCCTTCATTCTCAGCTTTTACTTCCCATGTGGCTGGGGACATGCACAATGGAGAAGGTGAGAGGTGGTGATATCGGGTTACTGAGTGAGACAAACAGCAGTTCCTCTCTCCCTCCAGAGGGCCCAGGGATGGGAGAGTTCCTGATGTTGTTTTCTTGCACTGCAGACGTTTTGTGCACACTCAGTGGGTTGGTGGAGCACTTATGCCCTCCTGACAGCAAGGAACAGAAGAGAGGGCTGCCACCTGCACAGGACTGTGTGGGCCAGTCCTGCAAACCCAACATGCCATGGTTTATGGAGCCTTCGTTTGCAAGGGTTGCCACCTCGGTCTCAATGCGGCGGGTTCATGGTGCCTTGTCCACGTTGCTGCTTCTGCTTCTGCTGCATTAACAGCTGCTCCAGGGCAGAGGGTCCAGGGTGCATCATGGAACTGGACCAGATGGACTAAAACCAAACAGCCAATAATAGCACCTCCTTGCATTAGACAGTCCCCCCTCTTACAGATGAGAAAGTGGAGATAGTTTTTTCTATTCTCCCTCTTTATCACTTATACATGGCTTACCATAAAAGTTATCTAGACTTCAAAGAAGGCCTTCTAAAAAGAGGCTCCCTGGAAGAAGCTTATCTTCCTCCAGAATCCTCATTACCATAAAAAACATCCCATGCTAACAATTACTAATTTTAGAATAGTCAAAGCAAATTTTGTATTTCTTCCAGTTCTGCTAGCCTGGTCTTGTTCCACAAAATACTCTAAACCAGCAAGGACTGGAAAACCATGACATCTTCCAGCACTGGTCACACCTCCCACATTGCCTGCATAAGTAAATCTGCAGGAAAACCAAGAACCCATTCCTAAACACAGCTTCAGCCAAGTATACCTTCAGGCTCTCCATAAGCACAGCTGAGGAGTCCTCCATAGCAGGAGGGCCTTGGGCTGCCCAGGTGCCACTGGGAGCGCTGGTCTGGTGCCAGCTGCTCTCCGAAGATGAGGATGTTGCTGGAAGGTAGTCCAGGCCAAACCCTCCCATTGCTAAAATGGTAGAAAGATAAATTCAACAGAATGTAGCAAAACCACAGCAAAGCAAACACCATCAGCCAGCTTCACGCAAACCTGGAACCCAGCACTTGCCTGGCTTATCTGTTTTCCAGCGGTCTGCGACTCTCCTGTCTCTGTTGTCTGGAGTCCCAATAGGTCCGAAGTTGGAGAAGGGAACAGAATTGTGGTTATGGGTTGGAGGTGAGCTTGGCAAGCTGCTGGGGTTGGAGGAGTGAGGGGACTGGCTGGCTGGTGTTGAATGATCTAGTGATTAGAAGGCAAGAGGAAAAAGGTCAACATAAAGAGCAGGAGCCTCCCATTTTGACTTTTTTAGTGCTGCTGCAAATACTGCCATGACCCAGATTTCTCCAATGCAGGAGGTCAACAATGGAGGTTCCCTCCATAACACAAGTGTAATGCAAATTCCTAGGTTTTGAGTGAAAATTTTTGTGCATAGACAAGAACAGAATGAATGCATTTAATGCATGCGTGCTTACCAGAAAACCTCCAGAGGGGTGGCTAGCCAAAGTGAGTTTTCCCAATATTTATGAAAAACTTTTCTTAAAACAAAAAACAAAAAACAAACAAAAAAAAAACCACACCAAAAAAACAAAAACAAAACACCCCCCCAAAAAAAGAATCCATTAGACCCTGAGGAGTTTGGGAGTTTGCAAGTTTACAACTTGAACTCCAAAGTCTGTGAATGTTTTAAACTTGTATAAGTCTTAAATCAATTTAGACCAGAACACAATACTGAGAAAAAGTGAGAGCAAGCATGAAAAAAGCCTATCTGCAGCTAGGAGAGAACGATGCCTCAAGCAACACAGCATAGCAGGATGCAAGAGACTATGTGGTCTTGAATGAACAAGTGAAGAGAGAGAAAGCTGAAGCTATGTGAGCCATAAATCCTTCTAGAATAAAAGCATTTTGAAACTCCTTCCATTTCACCTACAACAGTTATTCCTGGTGAGTCTCAGTAAAACCAAAAATCTCACTGAGTGCAGATGTTATGTAAAATCCATTCACTTCTTAGATTCAACTTAATTCCTCCTTCACACTCACCTGGATTTTTAGTGAGAAAAAGATCATAACAAAACATTTAAAATATTTTATGCTTCTCAGGTAATTACTAAGGAAAAAGCTGGTTTGCTTTGTAGGCAGCTTAATAAAAAAAGAACAAACCAAAACCAAACTACACAAAAATCCCAGTATATTTTCCTCAACACTTTTCAGTCATAGTTTCTTTCTCTATGAAGTATGTACATTAGAAATTCAGTTCTTACTGCTTTTTCCAAAGAAGCAACTCTAAAGTATATGAATGTTTGAAGCCCTACTCCCAAATGCTTGTCAGGAAGGTAAGTTAAAGAGATTTCAGGATCTTTTATCCTGCTCAACTACTTCAATTAAATCCAGGTTCTTATGCTATATTAATTACAGAATCCCTTCATATTTCTGAGGATGAAGAAAACTAGAAACCTTCAGACACCTTGTCAAGCTGGTTTTTATTTTTTTTTATTTTATTTTTTTTTTTTAAATGTCCAGTTACATGAAACTTGCACTATGTTCATAGAATCATAGAATAGAATCATAGAATCATAGAATCATAGAATAGTTAGGGTTGGAAAGGACCTTAAGATCATCTAGTTCCAACCCCCCTGCCATAAGCACGGACACCACACACTAAACTATGTCGCCCAAGGCTCTGTCCAGCCTGGCCTTGAACACCGCCAGGGATGGAGCATTCACAACTTCCTTGGGCAACTTATTCCAGTGCCTCACCACCCTCACTGTGAAGAACTTCTCCCTTATATCTAACCTAAAGTTCCCCTGTTTAAGTTTAAAGCCATTACCCCTTGTCCTACCACTAGAGTCCCTAATGAAGAGTCCCT